TAATGTTATGTGATCATGTTATAAAGCTTGAAAAGATATAAATCAGCCAAGCAAATTCGAGGCCAAATTTTTCTCCTATGACTTCATTTAGCTTGAAATGAATCTCGAATGAAAAATTTTCCCTTTAAAACTATAAAATGTAAAAGAATTTCTTCTGCGTAGTGAACTTCTCTTAAATTGATCCAAAACTAAATTCCTAGGCAACAAGCGATAATTGCTATTTTTCCTGGCATACATTTTTGATGAAACACAAAACTTAAAGTAATCACAGTGTAGCTAACGTTTACTTCTTGTCTAATTGTCGCCAGCTATCTATATTAAAGCATTTTTTCAACGCTTTCATATCACTTCAAATTTTCCAAATTTATTCATATTTACTACTATTTACTATCGATTTACACGTACATATATGAATAAATGAATTACGTGACACGTGACATGTTCCCTTTAAAAATTTTTTTTGACATATATTTTTTAATTTTCCTTTCTTGGATTCCCAGAAAATTTTAGCAAAGAATTTTTTTTTCTAGCAAAACGGGAAAACTTCGCATTGTTCCGTTATCACTTGTGAGAAAATTTTCATGAAAATAAGCTATTTCAAATATTTTTTTCTTGTCAAAACTTCATCATATTGATTTATATTATCGACTCATCGTTAGTCTTCAACTAATGCTTGGAGCAACCAACTGATTAATTTCACAAACTTTAAACAATGCATGTCGTTTTGAAAGTTTTTATTTCTAAATGATAATCAGCTGTCAGGAAATTAATTCTCGGATGTACGAAAAAAAATATCAAACTTTATTGCCGGAAGTATCAAAAATAAAATTTTTTATTCTTTCGCTTAGAAATTCATCGACAAAAAAAATTTCCCATATAACTTACTGCAAGTTTGCACATTTATAAAATCAATTTGTTAAAGTTTAAAGTTTCGTTTTTTGTAGAAATGAACAGCTTAGATGAGTAAAAAATAGTCCCGATTAGTTTATTTCATTCGTTCATTTCCAAAATTGATATCGTCATTTTGAAAGTGTGAAATTGCCAACAATATGGAGAATGTCAGGAATTGATCAGAATGAAAAGGATATAACTGTCAGAGAGAAGATGAGAAAGAATGCCTGGAATAATTCAATAAAATGTCTCATCCACAAATATGATATGGAAAAAGTGCATCATTTCAAAAATCCATTTTGAATGCTAATAGCAACTATTCCTCCTTCTTACAGCTTCCTCCAAAAAAAGAGAAGCCACATTTTTCGAACTGATAATTCCAAATTTTTTCTTTCTTTTCTTTCTTTCTTCTTTGTTGTTGACATTCATTCTGGAAGAAATAAAATGGAATAATGCGCTTGGCTGACTATTAGGACAAATGCAATCGGGAATGATGGAGTTCGATTCCTGTCATTTCGAGTGAAAAATCTATCATATGATAAGTGTATGTTATAGGAGTGAAGGATTTTGTTGTGATGTAACATTTGTGAACACACACACATACACATACATACACACGAATGCATACATTATGAATCAATGGAAGTAAATTAAAAAGTGAAATATAACAGATTTGAGTTTGTTCAATTGCTAGCAAAATTTCATTCAATTGATCAGTGATTTAAAAGTATTTTAAATTTAGTTCAATTAGAAATTTATTCAAATATATGAAAAAGAAAGGTTAAAGGTTAATAATTAAGAAAGAGAGAGAGAGAGCAGTTCTATATGATTGCAAAGCAATGAGTAAATTGAGAAATGACATTGAAATAAAATGAGATTCGATTGATCTTCCACTTTTCCCCAAGTAAAAAAAAACTGAGCAAAAGCGTTTCCCTTGCCATTCACATATTTGTTCGATGCTTTTTACTTCTAACGATTACCATTTCCTTTTTTTTCTCATACCCCAATTATTTCCTATTCCCTTTCGGTTAGAAACACATTCCTAAAATGAAAATTAACCACAAAGTGCTGTTTATGATAGTTTGTTATTCCATTCCGTATCGTAAATATTTCAAATCACTGAAGAAAAAAAAGCTACGAATAATAAATCGTGATATTTACAAGATTTATGTAATTTAATCGATAATTTGCCTCTTTTTTTTTTCTTAATAACAAACTGATTTAATTCTAAAATTTATTCACATTCATTACTTATATTGATAGACATAATCATTTCTAAAATTATCACAATATTTTATTAGCTATAATCTTATCCCTTCCCTCCTCATTCTAATCTTATCACATCTTATCTCTGTTCTCTATCCTCTCTCTCTCTTTGTATGTATGTATTCATTAAACAATGATTGATTGATATCTACTGATATAAAAGTTATTGATTGGATGGATTTTAAACTGTACCAAAATATTCCTTTCCATTCCCTTTTCTGCTCATTATTTTGTTCCTGTTTTCTTCTGCCATTTAATCATGTTTTCAAGAAATGTTTAATTAATAATTGCTACAGTTAGGTGCTACTACTAATGCTAATACTATTTGCATTGTTGCTGCCAGAACAGATCCCATTCTTGTTTATCAGTGACGTATCATTTTTGATTCCTTCTCTCTCTCTCTCTCTCTCTCTCTCTCTCTCTGCCTTTCCCATAATCTTATAACAAATAATCTTAACTATTAATGATTGAACTAATTTCATGATAAAATTATATTCTTGTTTATTATTTCTTAAGAAGCAGACGATTTAAATGTTTTGCTGAAAATAATTTAAATAATAATATTGGACTTCTGTAATTTCTAAATTCTCTTCCCTCTTCATATAATCTTATGAATTTTGTTCGGAATATTTGCTTTCTCCCTTTCTTCCTATTATTTATTTTACTATTTCTAAAACCTCATTTCAAAATTTGCTCCTTTTTCATTTTCTAACTATTACACATACCAGTAATTGTGAATTTTTATTTCCAATTATATTATTTCCTCTCACATCTAACATCTCATCATTGTTGAATTGAAGAATGACGTTAGTAATAAAGTTAAATTATAAAAATTTTTAAATAAAGCGCCATTTCTTCCTCTCTTTCCCATTTATTTGATGTTATATTTCAAAAAAAGAGGGAATAGGCGAAAATACAACGGAAGTGGAATGAAATTTGTGCTAAACATTCCATCTTTTATAAAGTTTGCTAATTTTTCATAACTTTTTACGGACAATGTGCACAACCAATTTTTTCATTTTTATAATTAATCTCGAAATGGTTAATTTTTTTTTTAGAATAATATGAATAATCTAACTTTTCTTTTCCTTTCTTTTTTTGTTGATAATTTTCTGAGGAAAAGTTATGAATTTTAATTCTAATATCATAAAGTTACTTCTTCCCGTTTTACTCTTCCGATATTTTAATTTAACTTAGAGATGATAGAAAAAAAAAATGAAGAATCTAACAGTTTTTAAATTGTTGATCTTTTCTTTTCCTTCCCTTTTTTGTTAATATTTTTTTGGAGAAAAATTACAAATTTTAATTCTAATATTATGAAGTTACTTCTTCCCGTTTTATTCTTCCGATATTTTAATTTAACTTAGAGATGATAAAAGAACAAAAACGAAGAATCTAACAGTTTTTAAATTGTTAAAAAGAAAGTTTTTAAATTTAAAAATTTTTAAATTCTAATCATTTATTTGCACAACATAGATTGTTTGGTCTTCTGAAATGAATTGCAATTGCTTATTTCCTTATAAACAAATTCAATGTGCTCGTGATACTAGCGAAAGAAAGTTTTAAAATGATTTTCTTAATTTCTATATTCTTCCATACTTATTCCTTTTGTATTAAATAGCCAATTTCAATTTGAACAGCAAATTTCCTCAGTCTATTCGATATCTTATCATTAAGAAATGTATTCATTATTCGTTAGTTCATGCAAGCTTTTCCATTTACTATTTGCCTTTTCTTCATGCGTCCATTTATTGCATCAATAATTTGATTATTGTAATAGCAAAAATTTTATTGACAGATAAGCATCCAACTAAAGGCGCAGAAAAGTATCTTGCAAAGAACAAAAGAAATTTCTACACCACCAAACAGAAATGGAAACATTTGGCAATTCTGTTCGTTTTCTTCATAGAGATAAATATGTTACGCCATTATCGATCATCAATCTAATATAGATTTGGTGATAATTTTAATCAGCTCTAATTTAATCTGTTATCACACGTACCAGTATTGCTACTATTATTACTACTACTAATTATTATTATTACGATTATTGCTGCTGCCAACATTATTATTGCTGTTTCCCAATAGCAAAACAACATAAAGCCATTGGTGAATTGGAAACAATTGCATGATAAAATGAGTATGATCGAAATATTAAAATTTGCTTGATGAATAAGTTTTCATATGTTAGTAAAAACAATAAACAAAAAGGCAGCAGGAAAAATTAATCAAAAAATTATATAGGAAATTAAGAAAAAACTATGTATAATGTTGCAAATAACTGTAAAACATTTTGAATGCATAATTTTCATATTCTCCTTGTACCGAATTACTCATTCTCCAAAAACTAATAATTCTTTTACTATTCCTATTATTCATTTTACTTTTACGATATCTAATAATAATATTTTATTATTACTGTTAGCACATTTTCTCAGTGTCGCATATATTCTTGATGTAACTTAAATTGACGTCAAATATACGAACATACATTTGAAAGATTTTCAATTTCAATACTAACATTCCATTGGTAGAACGATATTACCTTACTTTTCTATCACAGCTATCATTAATACTACTGCTATTATTGAAATTCAATTCAGATTATATTGAAAGTACATCAGACAGCTTCCTGTTGCTAATATTTCATAAGCAAATTTAACATCAGAACAGGGTCTAATTGAGAAATTTTCGAATTTCAAACAAAATTTGAAATTTCATCGAAGAATTCAACATTTGCATCTAGTAAATATTGGTACCAGCTATTACTTGCTACCATTTCCTGTTGCATCTTTGGTGGTTACCTGAATAAATAAAGATTATATCCGCATGGCGTTGTCGTCATGAAAACAGCGGTTTTTGGTCACGACGAAATATGCGACGACACAACATTATCGCTGAACAGCGGTGCCATACCGCCGCTAACATTTGCGCCACCAGCAGCCCTATCTGTTTCCTCATCTTTACAAATCCGTTGCAGCGGTGGCAGTGTCGTAAATGCTGTAAGCGGTTATCGGTCGCATCATCCGCGACGTACTTCACGAATGCAAAATGTAAGTATGCTTGTTCATTAATTAGCAAGCATTCTATTTGACGTTATCTTTTTTCTAATTTTTGTTTAATTGTTTAACATTTCTTTTTAGTTCGTTTTAATTTTTCCAAAGATAAGTTTATTCTGTGATACTCTGGAATGGTACTACAACATTTATCAACTGGTTGCTTTATTGTATTAAAGTGAAATTTTTGATAATTTTATTCTTTGATTTAGTAATAAACAGTACGTTGTGTTCATTTATTACTATCGCAGTTTCCTTTAAACTTCAATTCTCTCATATCTCTTTTTCTCAATTTTAAAATTTTCGACAAGATCTTGAAATCATTGTTACTATATTAGCCTTTCATATTTAAAATTTTTTGCTAATTAAAGTGGGAAATTAAATTCTTTTCTTTTAGAAATAGCAGAAGCTTAGATTTGTTTTTCTTTTTTTATCCTCAAAAATACGCTTCTATTTTTAAAATATTAAATCCCTAATGATTAATTGATTCATATTAGTCATTGGAAGTGAAGATATTTATGTAAAGAAAATTTTGAAACTTCAAAAAAATAATTAATTCACCACTAATTCATGATCTCGTGGCATTTGAATCAAATTCACATTCGTTATTGAAATTAAAAAGTTGAAAGGAGGAAACGACAGTAGAGGTGAATGAATTCTCCAATTCATTCATCTCTATCCAACTTCTCTTTTTAGCTTTTTAAAAATCAATTTTTATTTAATTTCGATTAAACAACTCACTTTGCATATTTTATCTCTTAAAATCTCATACAAAAAAAGGACACTTGTTTTCCAATCTTTTAAACTATTCACTTGCCTTTCTGTTTAAAAAAAAATCATAAATTATTGAAAAATAAAATCTGTACTCCACTCAAAATTTGTATTACCCATGACTTTATAATGATGAAATGCTTATTCCCATGTGCCTAACAATAACTTCAAGAAAAAGAAAAAAAATCTTTTTTTTCAAATGTATAACAAGGCTGATTGAAATATTTTATATATGCCACTTCAACCGATTATTTTTCATACTTCACTTTTAGCTCTTTTTTTTTCCTTGAAATTGTTTGAGAATTTTAGATTTTATTATGAAATTATTTCTACGTCTCATTTATTTGCACTATAAGATATAAATCTTTACCGGAAGTTTATTTCGCTAATTTCAATTTCTTTTAGCATTACAATTACAATTCCTTATCCGATATGTTTTCCATCGATTTTTAGTACTTTTTTACTGATACGATCATCAGCTTTGCATTTCATCATTTATACTCAAACCAAATGTTCTTTTTTTCCGGAAATATAGTTTGAAGTAATTCTATCTGTAGCAGTAGCAAACCAAAGTATCTGTTAGCAAATGAAAAAAATACTCAAAATTTCAAAATGAAATTGAGTTTTAAAAAGTTTTGCTATTAAAATTTACATTTCAATCGACTATAGAAATGATTTTTTCCTCGAGAATTTTCAATTCTTTTTTCTTCTTTTGCTTTCGGAATTTTCTTTAAATGCTCCATTTTGCACTTTATTATATCACATTTACAATATTACTGTCTGCTCCGTTATCCAAAATATTTTTACCAGAAAAATATCGCTATGCTAATTTTCCCTTGTTATCTCTCTCTTTCTCTTTGTAAACTCGTTAATGAATGAAATGCTTCATTTTATTGGCACATCTCATTATAGCTTGTTTCAATTTGTAACTTTTCAATGCATTAGTAAAATTCGGGAGCGAAGGAATAAACTGACAATTAATTAATGTCATTATCTTTCATTTTTATTCTCTCTGCGCTCCCTTTTCTCCCATGTTTTACAGTATATAATTTCACGCTTGACAACATTTTCCTTCTCTCTTCCATTTTCAAATAGGTGATGAATAGAAAGAATTCTTTTTTAATATAAGTAAAGGAAATTCGGCATGAGTTTTTCCAGGAAATGCAGTAATTTTCAAAGCATGCATTATTAATAGAATTTTTATTTGAACTTTTTTGTTACTTTTTTAGTTATATGATCTTTTTGAGCATTAATATATACTTTTTTTCCATATTTTTTCTCGCATCGACGATTTTCCATATTTTTTCTCGCATCGACGAATAATTCAAGCTTTCATATAAACTAAGTTTTATATTATTTCATTTTGTTAAATATAAAATAAACCAAGTTTTTCATTAATTCAAAACATGCATTATTACTAGAAATTGATCTTTTTGAACTTTTTTGAATGGTTTTTTATTTAAATTTGAAAATTTTTTTAAAAAGGAGCATCAAATTTCGAATGCTAATTTAGTCATTACGAATTGCTGCTAACTTTTCTTCGATATCCTCTAGGCTACTCTTCACGTGGAAAATTTTTATTATTATTTTATATTACTTTTTCAGGAATGAAGAATTCATCAGTAATGCGCTTTTTAGTATGATGAGTGAACGTTAGATGGAATTTAATTTTCTTGATGAAATACATTCGAAAAAGAGAGAGAAAGAGGGAGAGAAAATATTAGATGGTAGTTATTTAGGTAAATGTGCTTCAAATCCTCTTCATTTTTTATTTTCCTATCAAAAGCCTTATCCGATTTCATTCAATATCCCATGGTAAAGTAATAATGTAATAATCTGAAGGTGGGATATTTTATAGAGTTCAATAATTGAATAAGTATGATATCGGTTCCCTTTATCAGGTAACATTTTACCTCCTCTCAAAATATAAACCTGAAACCAGTTTTTTCCATGGTAACTTTCAGCATTCCTAGTATCCCTAATGTTACCATGGTTTCATATATTATTTTGGTTTGAGCATAAGGGAGAAGGAGTGTCAGTGTGATTGTAATGAAACTCTTCCCTTGACCGCTCCTCTACAAGTATTCTTCCTCGCTCTTCGGGACAACTAATTGTAAGGTTGTGATTAATTCATCACATCAACACCTACCTTTCTAACTCCACACAATCTCTTCACTCAACACCTCTCAAATAATTCCCATTTTAGCCAAGTCTTTGTCTCTCCGTCTGTGTCTCCTAGGCCTCTAGGTAACAAATTCATCCGGATGTTCATATCTTTCCTCTTCATTACCTGTCTGCCTGTTTTCTTTCAATCGGTTTTGATAGCCTAATCAGAGATTGTATTGAGTACGGAGTGCCTATCACAAACATCTGATAGCCTAGCTTTTTTCTTAACTTATAACAGCTAGCTACTAACTTTATCGATATACTGCCTTAGTTTGATTATAAACACTCATTTTTCTAAGTATAAATCGAAATTTTGATATCTCATTTAACATTCCATTAAAGTTATTTATGAAGTGAGCAAAATTCAGCGTATTTTTACAATTAAATTTAGTTGTTTACTCTAATTATTTTTAATTTTGAATTATTACATTGTAACTTTCTTTCATCCTCTATTTTCATCTATTTTTTTCAAACCTTTCAACTCTCTTCCTCATATATTCCAGTAGCTTCCAAGAAAAAATATTCGGAAATGAGTGAAAGACAAAAGAGACACGTAAAAACGTATACTTCAGCGGTATAATACGTGTAACCATTGAACTTTCATATCTATTAGCAAAAAAAGTAACGCATACAGAAAATATTTTTTAAAATGTTTTTTTTTTTGGTAAGGAAAAAGAGAACGGAGATTTAATTTGCCATTTGAATAAGTTAGGATATTCTGAAGATTTCATTCATTTTTAATTCTTAATAAGAACAAAATATGAATCCTCAGATGCATATTAATTTAGAATAAATTATTGATTTCTTTTTGAAATGCTAAAGCTATCAGGTGTTCATACTTCCTATTTTCGATGTTTACCTCTTAATCAAAGATAAAAAAAGGCAAAAATAGACAATTCGTTTTTCTTAAGCTTTCATTTTTGTTCATTGCAGAAACGTTCAGTTTGCATTGTTTTCATCTTTTTTTTATTTTTATTTTTTTGATTTGAGAAGAATTTTTTTTTCAATGAGTGAACAGTTTACAAATTTTTCAAAGATAATATAGTATTAGAAGGAAAAAAGGATTTTAAGAATCCTTACAAATGCTTATTATTTTTTCTTTGATTTTTGTAAAGTTTGCATTGTTTTGATCAGTTTTTTTTTACGTGGATTTTTGAATTAGATATTATTCTTTTTATTTTATGCAAAAGGACAATTTTTTTTGAACTTTTGAAGTAGCTTTGGAAAAAAAGGCTGAAAAAGTAATATTTTGAGTGAGATTTATTTGAGTTAATCAGTAATTAAAGTATTTTTCTAATTATTTCTTCTATTTACTACAGATGACTTTTACTTTATAATTACTACTGAACAGTTGTATGACTTTGCTATCAATTTTAATGTTGTAGTAATTACGTGTAAGCCTCTTACAATATGTTGAAATTTTAAAGGAAACTAAGCTATAATCCTTGGATATTAACCGGATTGAATGATAGCCGAATATTGGCTTCACACTTTAATCAAGTTGACTTCATTTTAAGGAATGAAGATGACTCGGTGATAATTCTCAATTAGACTATAAGCTCTGGAAACATGCTTCAATACCTATTATTGTGTCATTTCAGTTCTCCTAAAACATTATGAACATACATTCTGATTAAAATGAATTGAAATTCATGAATAATTAATTCAGTAAATAAATTGATAAATGAGCCAAAACATAACGACGAAATTTACTTCCGTGCATTATTCATTATAGATGGAGCTTGTCTACCGTTGTCACTGTTTATTTGTGACAAAGCTGGAGAATAACTGTTAACATTGATAACTTTACTAACAGTCAGAAATTGACAGTAAGAGATAGCACATCTATTGGTGCAAAATTTAGAAGTATTGAAAAGAGAATGGTAGTTGTTTGAAATATCCTGTAATATCTTTTGTTTCTTAATCCAACATATTTCTGTATTTTAAAAATTTCACTTCTCTTATTATTGAATCATTAATCGAATAAAACAATTTGATGCTGTAAGAATTATCTTTTAAAAAAATAATATTTCTAAGAGCGAGATAGTTTTAAATCCAGTAAGTAGTGATGTGATAATTCAAAGAAGTAATGGAATGAAGGATGAAGAAGTTAAGATGGTTGAAAAGCCTGAAAGCCTATTTCTGATCCTTCCAATTGAGTAAATATGAAATAACATGAAAACGTAATGCTTTTTCAGAATACTATACAAATCACAAGTAGAATAGTTTCGTTACATGGAAAAAGTGAAATTAATAAATGGATGATTCGTTTTGATGAATGTTTTTTTGGACGAGAAATTTCTTCGTGTAATTCCGAAAAGAATTATTTCGTATTTTTGAAAAAAAGAAAAAAGTTTGAAATCATAAAGATATTTTGAAATCCAATAAGAAACGATTCAGAATAGAATATAATGAATAATATATTTCTCGCCAACTTCAAGTTATGACTTAATGGCCCAATAAAATTTTATGATTTT